TGCACCTAAATGAACCAACATCACTAAGAATATCAAATGCATATTTTTCATTGATCGAGATAAATGCCGAATACGTAACAAGTGATTTCTATACCAAGAAAATATTTTATCGAGCCTAAGTCATTGATTTTGAAAGCTGAATGTAAGTGACTTTTTATAGCACTAATTAAGGAGGGATTGGTGTGTCTATGACAATAATGTCATCAATATATACAAGTAGGGCAATAAAGTTAAAACCACGGGTGATGGTAAATAATGAATAATCATAACAAGATTTTGTGTAGCCAAGTGATTGGAGTGAGAAGGAGAATTTTACAAACCATTGTCGACTAGCTTGTTTAAGGCCATATAAGTACTTGTTAAGTTTGCATACTAGTGGCTTTCCTTATTGTAAAAGCTTCGTGGAGGGTATATATAAATTTCTTCATGTAAGTCCCCATGTAAAAAAGTATTGTTCTTATCTAATTGTGAAATAACCTATCTCTTAGAGGCGACGAATTGCTAAAAAAGTATGAACGGTAGTCATTTTAGTAATAACAACAAAAGTTTCCTAATAATCGAGACCTTCTACTTGAGTATAACTTTGGCTACCAAATGGGCTTTGTATCTTTCCGGGGAACCATCGGATTTAGATTTGAGTTTATAAACCCACTTACATCTAATTAAACGTTTGCTTAGTGGTAAAGAGGTGAGGACCTAAGTATTGTTTTCTTTTAAAGCTTTAATTTCTATAGACATTGCATTTCTCCAATTGGGATTTTTTACGGTCTTAATATAGGTACGTGGTTTAGTAGGAATAAAGATTTGGGTAATGAAGTGCTTATAGGAAGAGGAAAGATTAGAATAATGAATATAATTAGATAAAGGGTAGAGAGTGAATAATTTACCCGAGTGAGGAGTGGTGATGCCTTGTATTGAGTCGGAGAATTAATAGATGTAGTCGCAAGTCCATGTGGGTGGCTTCGATGAATGAATTGATCTACATTGAGAAGGAGATAAAATGGTAGGCAAGTGATCGTTATGGTGACCATGAGAAAGAGAAGCAAGAGGATAGGAAGTTTGGTGGAGCTCGGGTTGGTGTATTTATGATGGGTTGAATGGGGTAGAAATAGAGGTAGACCCATGAATCAATATGAAAATAAAGAATGCATGAGGTAATAAAATGGGTTGATAGGGTAAAGGAGAGCTACTTGGATTTTAGTCCACTATACGAGTTGAGGGAAATAACTCGGCCGGGACTATAGCTGGGCTCGTTTGGGCTTAGGAGTTGGATGGGGTTTGCGGGGCGGGATGGGGTGAGCGGATCCGATTTGCTAGAAGGAAAAATATCTTCAAAAAAGGTATGATTTGTTGAAGGGAAAAGATTGTTTGGTGACGGTAGTTTATCCGAGGTGTTTGGAGCGGGAGTGAGGCATATGTGTTGGATGGAACTTGTGGGTAGTAGATTGTCCGAGATATTTGGAGCGAAAGGTGGTCTAGAGGGCTAGATAGAGCTCGTAGGGCGGTTAGATCCGGAATTAGGAGATATGTAGTTTTTTGCATGCGTTGATAGTTTTGCGAGGTCGTGTCAATATAGGTTGATTGTGATGTTTGCTAGAGAGAAGAAACACCATTGGGAAATTCCATAGTGTTTGTGGGGAAATTAATTTGAGTGAGTTCTAGTTAGTGGTGGGAGAGAAAGGAAAAATTATTTAGGGAAAGATAATATGCTTAGTGATAATTATTTTTTAGGTGTTCAAATCAAAAAGTTTATACCTCTTTTGTCCTAGTGGATAGCCTAGAAAAATGCACTTGGTGGCTTTAGGGTCAAATTTGTCACGATTATGGCTTTTGGTAGAAGTGAAACAAAGACATCCAAAGACTCTTAAATGGGAAAATGATGGAATTTTCTTAAAGGGGAGTTCATATGGTGTTTTGAGATTAAACAATGATGATGAGAGACGATTGATAAGGTGAGTTACTTGTTAAGATACGATCTCTCTAAAAAACAAGAGGTAGATTTGCTTGAAACATGAAAGCTCTACACCATTTCTTTGTAGAGTGTAAGGACGAGTGCTTTGATGAATAATGCCCTTTTTTGTCGAAATGGAATAAAGGTATGATTGAAGAATTTAGTTCCATTATCTATTAAAAGGATTTTTATTGGTTTTCTGTCATTCTTTGTAAAGTTTTTAATGATTTGTGGTACATTGGACTTGGATTGAATGAGGTGTGTCCATATGGCTTTGGATAAATCATCCACAAGAGTAATGAGAATAATATGAACCATCAATATGAGAGATATGGTATGGTCCCCATACATCACATTAAACAAGATCAAAAACACCGGTAGTAGAAAAATTACTCTTATTAAAAGGTAAAGACTTTTGTCATGCTAGTGGAAAAATTTCATAAGGCTGAATTATGTAAATCTTTTATTTCGGGAATATATGATGATAAGGATGGCATTTTGGAATGTGGAAGATGACCGAGGTAGTGGTGCCACGAGCTTTGAGAGGCGTTAACGGATAGAGTTGAAGTTGTAAAGGCTTATGGAGCGAACAATGTTTAGGAAAGGTATAGAGACCTCGGTTCATATGCCAATCTCGTAGTCTTCCTTAATACAAGGTCCTATACCAAGCACCAATCAGCAATAGTAAACTTGGTACACATAAAACATCTTTGAGTAATAGTGTATCGGTGAAGGCAAGCTGTGCCAATATGGGTGATTTTGGTTTATGTGCCATTAGGTAGCCTAACATGAGGAGCATGATGGCAAGGTCTTATGGTTTTAAATGTAGGTCCGGATATATATGGTATGTTGAGCCACTATCCAAAATTCAAGTTAAAGATGCAATATTTCTAGAATGAGCAAAAAGAAGACAGTGAATAATTTTACTAGTTGTATTATCCGTAAGTGCTTTATCTTCAAATGTTTGCAATAAGGACAATAATTGTTGTAGTTGCTCTTGACTAATATTAGTGGTTGCTAAATTTACAAAGTAGTAATGTGCTTTAGATGAACTGCTAGAATTTGGCTTGTTGGGTTTGTGAAACTTGTGCCCAGTGGATATCCCACTAGCTTGTACCATTTTTTCGTTGTATGTCTAGGTATATTGTAATTTTCACATCTTATTTTTCTTTAATTATTAGTTCCGTTCTAACCCTTCCAGTTACCTTGAGTGTAACTAGACAAGAGAGTCGAACTTTCGGCAATATGAGGCGAGTGACCTACCTCTGTTTCTCATCCCGAAGTAACATATTGTAAGCCTATGTCATGAAGGGTGAGGATTGTATTAACAAAATCGACCTCTAATTGCTAAATATGTATCATTAAGACCCATGAGTAATTGCATGATCTTACTGCTCTTGTTGGTACTTTTCAAAGGCCTTTGATGCCTCACTTCTACACTTAACAATGCTACAAGTATAAGTTGGAAAAACGGTAACCCTAGAATTTAGGATGTGTTCTCTTATGGTATCAAAGCCTAACATGCATAAAGATAAAAGAGATCTTAGAGCCTTTCCACTTGTAGGATGATTTACGTTGCAATGTTGTGTCACATATAAATTTACATTGTCACATGACAAAAAAGTCTATTAGTAACTTGTTATTGTTCCAGGAAAAAAAAAAAAAACAAAATAAAAACTTGAGTACTTGTTGACGAACATATGCACTATCTCGAAGAAGTGTATAGACTAAATATTACATAATTTGTTGTCCTAAAACGACTTAAAATTTGTTGGTTCCGTAGGTGCCACACCGTTTGACCTTTTACACTCCACTAGAAAAGACATTCCTAGAAAATCCTCCCCAATTGCCTCAAAGACAAGTTGATTTTTAACTTAAATAATGCCCATAGCTGGCAAACTCCATTTGTCTAATCTTCAACATGAGAAGCAAACAAAATGGGGAAGGGGTCAATGCATTCATCTTTCAACATTGGCTTTCTACTTTTGTTGGAAAAACATTAAAAAAAAAAAAAAAAAAGGCTAACCATTTTGTCTTAAACCGCACAGCAAAACCAAAAAGGCATCATTATCCTGATACCATACATTTTTGGAGCCCTTTGGATTGCTTCCCTATGAGGATTCTCTATTGCTAGCATTATGGATGACCTCGATCGTTTACTTTTTTAAAAATCTCCTGTTCTCCAAGTTGGTTTTGTTTATCATCTATTTATTCTCTAATCAAGCTTCTTCTACTTCATACCCGCATAAGTCCTAATCAGAGGGTTATCAATAATTGAGTCGCGGTTCCCATGTGCCACCCATCTTACCCATAATCAGGCACGCATCATATGTATATAAGAACTGAAATATGATTTGCCCACCATGATGCCTAAATTGAAAGCTTTGTTTTCAAATCTTGTTTTATGTACTTTTTATATAATTGGCACAATAGAGTTGGCCACCACCCTTGAAAAAAAAATCAAAATGAAATTAACTAGTCATGATTATGTGATGTGTATTTTGGTTTGATGCCTGCATTGCATTATATAATAATGTTGAGTTCATATATTAACATACTTGTTTAAGAAGACTGAGATTAGGATTAGCATCAAAGTCATTTTAAAATCTCGTCTGTGTATATATATATAAATCACCTTCTGCTTGACTAGATTCAAAAAAAAATTTAATGAAATAAAATCCTTAGAAAAATGACTTCATATTTAATCTGCATGTGGAGGTGTTTTGAAATAGAAAAATAAACAAAAATAAGCGATTTTGAAGTCTGGTCTTCAACTTTTGTTCTTAAATGATGATACTCATCTTCATGGTTTCTCTAGTTTCCATGACATTTATTGTTGAATGTTGCAGTTGACTGTACTAACACACAGAGAATATCATTTCCCGAAAAGAAATGCACAAAGGAAGCTTTTTAGCATGTACTGTCAAAAAGGTGTTTCCATAAAAAAACACCAAATCCACTCCCCCTCCACAAACTGAGCCTGAAATCTGAATCTTTTAACCCATCCCTTCCTTACCTTCAAATCTTGTGATTTTACTCGCAGTCAGCATCAGTAGTACATGGCTTTTTCCCCTGACTTGTTTTCATCAAACAAAAAGCTATTACAACTGTCAGTGCTAATAAGTTGCTTAATCTCCTCTAGACCATAGTCTAATGAATTATCTCCCGGCCATAACCCATTTTGCTTCTCGGTCCACCCATTAAGTACGCCATGAGCAGCTTCCCCACTTGAAACCATCAACCTTCGGTCCTCTTCAACCCCATTGTAGAGATAATTTTGTAAGCCCATCTGTTCAGTGTTGTTATTTGCACCACCACCATATTCATACCCCTCATTGACATGGCTCATCTGATTGTTGCAACTTCCATCAGAAGAGCTGCAGCTAGCTTCACCCCCAAACATTATGAGACTATCTTTCACTTGATAATTTTGCATAGGTCCCACAAAAGTTTCTTGGGGTTGTAGCATAGAAGAAGCACTTGTAGTGAAAGAGCTATTGCTCAAAGGAGTTGCTGAAAATGAAATTGGCTCTGTGAAAGACCTAGCTAGGTTGTAATAATTACTGTTGTTGCATGCGAATGATGATGGTGATGATGACAGGGGAGTGGATGGGGATGACGGTAATGATGTAGGTTGAAGGAGAGAAGAAACATGAGCTGCTTGCTGAGGTTTTCTCTGAGCAATAGGATTAATCATACCCATTAGTTTCTTCTTGAGCTTGGTGTTCCAGTAGTTTTTTATGTCATTATCCGTCCTGCCTGGCAACTGAGCGGCTATTATTGACCACCTGCGTTGTGATGCCAACAAGTTTTGTAAGAAGAAATGAAAGTGATATTCTGATCTTTAAAGAGTAACTCAGCACTCTTAATTAGAAGTACTGTAAGCTTGGCATGCATGCATATATAGATTTCATGTAATTATCCAAATTTGGCTTGTACTTGGAGCATGCAGATTTTTCTCGAGGTTTGACTTTTTCGCAAGAACTGAAAATTCACTCATTTAGTTTTCTTCTCCATGGCTTAAATACGAAAACGAGTTCTACAAGACTAAAAACTATCAATTTTAATGAGGATGACAAAATATGTGAAAGAAACAGATGGTGTGGAGTGGAATTAAAGAAAAAGAAAGCTCAGAGAGTACCTGCTCCCAATGTTGGCATATAGGCTGCAGATAATCCTATCTTCATCATCAGAGAACTCCCCATGTTTAATATTGGGTCTGAGATAGTTTAGCCATCTTAATCTACAGCTTTTCCCACATCTTTTAAGACCTGAAACACAAATCCAGACAAATTCAAGATTGTAAACAAAACATAACAGGAACTGACAGAAAAGGAAGAGCACTGAAACCTCTTTTCATGGAGTGGTTGTCATTTCCATTAAAATAATCTTACAGGCCAACAACTCAAAACCCACTTGCTAAAAGGAAGAGGAAAAGGTTTTTAATTAACTGCTTACCAGCCTTTTGTGGGAGAGCAATCCAATTCCCTCCTGTCCCTTGTTTCTCTATGTACTCCTTCAGCTTTGCATCTTCCTCAGGCGACCAAGGCCCTTTCTTCACATTGGCCTTGTCACAGCAAGGAGCCCTTCCCATCTTTATCTTTCTCAGTGACCTTTTTTCAGTGAGACTAAGAAGTTGTATCAAAATAAAGAGGCTTGATGGATGGATGTGAAGAAGAGTTCCTAACTTTCTTTGACAGACTTGGTTTTCTGAACACTAGCTAATGGAGGGATTGATTACATTTATTGAGAGATAGCACAAGTCAAAGGACAGACTTGTCTAACTTCAATCATCAGTTTTTAACTCTCTGCTTGTTGATTAGCCAAGAGAACTTTCCATCATAAAACAATCAGCAATAGAGTCCTTCCATGTCTACCCTTACTTGGTCTCCATTCTAACTTCAGTCACACTTTAAGAATCCAAAGTCTGCTCAAGCAATAAAGAGAAATAATAGTAATATAATCAGTGAAAATGACGGCCTGGTTTTCCAAATTATAGGCCAAGTCATAGGGTAAGGTACTAGAATTAAATACTACTAGTTGTCAATTGATACATATCTATGTATGCTAATGCGTATAAAGTAGCAAACATGTATGTGAATACGGATGCATTTTAGGGCTAATAATTGCTTGATGGATATAAATTAAAACAAGAAAAACATGCTATGCATGGACCACATCTGCGACTCTATGTCAGCCCTGCGAGATGTGCGTGGTTTTGCCGCGTGTCATCAGAAAAACAGGTAAAATTAAGAGATTTTAATTTTTTTAACTTACTGTCAGATCAAGACCAATATTATGATTCTTTTTGAAAATGCATCCGTATTCATAATATTAAGAATTTGGTTTTTTGTTTTTCCGAAATGCATTTAAAGCCACAGTTTTTTTTTTTTTTTTTAATCTTTCAAGAGATATCTCAGACCTAAACGAATCAAAACCCTAGTTTTTGTAAATTACGCATAAGTTAAAGTTACAGATAGTTGTACATAGGAATGAACAGAACAGAACCAAACCACCATAATTTGGTCAGTTTATTATGTTCATTAGTTCGGAGACTTCGGATGTTAAAATAACTTATTCTTATAAGAAATTTTTTAAATTCTTACTGTTAAAAAATTATTTCTTTCCAAAAGTTTCAGTTCATTAATTCAGAAACTTCAGGTATTAAAATAATTTATTCTTTTAAGATATTTTTTAAACTTTTATTGTCAAAAAAACTATTTAATCTAAAAACTTGAGCTTTTATGTGAGGTTTTAAAATATAATTTAAATGATCTTCTCACCTATTTTTTCAAGTAAAAACTTAAATTTTTTATTCTGAAACTTATATAGGATTACACTACGTTATATATAATAATAAAAAAAATGATATTAATGAAACTTGAACTCGTAATTACTTGATCGATAAAATTTTGATATAATGTCAAAAAACTACATTAACTTAAAAATTTAAACTATCCTGTGAAACTTTAGAATATGATTTAAATTGACACTTGCTTAATTAAAACACTGTAAAGAAATGGAATGAAAAGCTCACAAGTAAAAACCCAAAAAGAGAAGTTTATGGTTAAATGCTATTCAGAACGAACCCTAATCGATTCGAGTCGGTCAAAGAAAAAAAAACAAAGAGTATAGTTCACGATTAAGTCGTTGGCTTCTACAGTAGTTTGGAATTGATTTTTAATCTGTCGAGTTGTTCAATTGATCCTAAAATATAAGAGGAAGGAAGCTTTCTTGAAATCTTCATGCTATATCAACCACATATGAAAGAAATGACGTCCAGATAGGCAGCAGCCTAGCATCCGATTGCCAGCCGGAAAGAGCCGTAAGGCCAAGTTCAAATAAGAATCCATCGAAACTCGACGAAGGATGAAGATGACAGCCAAAGAGAAGCCAAGGCACGCACCCGTTTGAGGAGAGAGATGCTACCAGATTCTCTTTCAAAACCGAACAATTAAATTTTTTTTTAATTTTTGTTTTTAAAAAATAAAAACAAATGACAATTTTCAAATTTAAAAAGTTTATTTGAAAAAAATTAAAAACCAAATGTTCAAACCGGAATATTTCATTTCACACAATTCGATTGTTCATAAATTTAATTCGGTTGGACTTTTGAAAAAACGAACGGAATTACTATATATATATATTCACAGGCGCTGAATAGGTGAGAGAAAAGGAAAATATGGTAGTGTTGGCTAAAATTGTCAAAATCTATGCCAAATTTTCCCATTTCAGCTGGTATTATTACCTACCTTGAAATTTGAGTGGGCTCGGAGTTTGGCCGACTAGAATGGACAAAAGTAAACAAAAGTTTACAGCTTTGATTAGATTGTTGTGATTTATTCTCTTAATTCAAAAGATCATTACATCGCAAGTCATCTTGGACAACCAATAATTAATATTATCGGTCAGAAGGCCACAAGTTAACCAGAGTTAACTAAGGGACAAAACAACACATCATGTGAACTGTCGGGGAGATCTACAGTACTGGAGAAGTCTTTAAAAACTAGAGAGCGCTTTGGGACTTTTGCAAATAAAATTTGGGAAACTTACATTTGTGACCTACATTGACATTAAGTAAAATAAAGTTATAAGTCTATATTTTTATACTTCATCTAACAATTTAACTTTTTATTTAGATTTTCTAATATAATATCAAAATTATTTATATCTTTATATCCAACGATTCATATGTATATATAATTTCGTTGGTTTATGTTTTAATAAATTTTAATTAAAAAAAACTACTCAAATTAAATGGCATCCTAAATTTTTAGAAAGTTTTCAATCAGTTCTAAAAATTTGAATTTTTTTTCCTATACTCTTGAAATCGAGATTTATTTATTAGGAACTATGTATTTTGCACCTCCAACAATTATGTATTGTCTCTATATCATTTTATTTATTATTTTATTTTCAAATTTATCCAGATTTTTTTCATATTAATACTCTTACTTTTAAAGTTCTAGTTCTGGCCCTATTTTGAAAATTCTATTGGTAATTTCAAAATGATAGATTGAGAATACTTTAAAAATAGAATCCAAAATATAAAGTTTAGAATCATCTTAAAACTTAGATTGTTTTGTACCACACTCAAACCGATCCATCTAACTCAACAATCATCTAGGTCAAAGATTTGCAACAGCCTTATAATGGTCGAGAATTATTATTTACACATCCAGTAGCAATTAATAAAAGTTTTTATGTTTACAATAAAAGCATGATAAAGATGAGAATAATTTTCAACATTCACAGTTCATTTCAATCCAAATTCAATAACTTGTTAATTTCAATCCAAATTCAATCTCTTGAAGTTCAACTATCATATTAATTAATCTTCCAAAAAAAACAATAATTTCTGATTTCAATTCAAAATTGTATGCGATGTACTCATTATTTGAGTGAAGTATGGAGCAGAAACGTGCTTTGATTGGCTTCCTTTGCTTAATGGTCAAGTTAATCAAAATATTTAATGTACAATTCATCTTTAAACTTGGCTTTCATAATTAATCTAGAACAGAGTGAAATCTAGCTAGAAGCAGTCAAGCAGTTTAGCGGTCGGGATGTATCAGGCAGGCTGGATTAATATTTCAAGGATATCCATGGTCACGTAGCTATCAACAAAAATAATAATTAACAAGTTATTTTCTGGGTCATTTTATGCTGGGAAAAAACTAAAAAGTAGAACAGCAAGCAGTCACATGTTGACAGCAACGTATACCAATATAATTAATAAACTTATCTGTCACCTTTCAACTCAGATACAGATGGAGATGAATAATTCCACAAGATCCCTGGAACGCATGTAACACACGAAGTGGCAAGTTTCAGGCACTGCATCCTTAAGTTCAAGGGAAGTTAGCACGGCATCGTTGGAGATTGCAAGTGAAAATTACAAGATTAGAATACTAAATGTTTGTTATGATTGAATTTTCAGTAATCAAATACTAAAATATTTATTTTAAATCATGCTAAAATTTTATTTTGTTTAGTATTTGTCTGTTAATTTCTATTGTTCTTAGCATATAAAAAAAAACATAATTAAAAAGAAACATAATTAATTAATTAGTAAAAAATTACACAATAAATAAATAAATTTATTATAAATTAAAATTGACAAAAAATTAAAATTTTTTACCTTGATCATTAAAAAATTTAGAAACTAAAATTATGTTATCATGTTTTATAACATAAAAATGATCGAACCATTAAAAAAAAAACTGTTTTAAAACATGATCAACTCACTTTTTTAAAACAATACTCATGGGCTGCAGAATTTATAAAACAAAAAACATTAAAAATATGTTACACACCGTCTTAAAAAAATATAATAAATTCAATTAATTTATCATATCTTAATAAATTTATATTATTTGTAAAATTTAAAAATTAAGATGAAAATACTATTCTTAATTAAAGATAAAAAATAATAAAAATTATATGGTTTTTAAGTGGGAGGAAAAAGACAAAAATATAAGCAATGCTGCTTATATTTTTTTCCCTCTCCAGTAAGTAATAGTATTCAACAACTTGTTATTGTATTTATAAAATAACAGGATTATATATATATATATATATATCTCTGAAAAGTATGACAACATTGCACCTCTATAGAGACCACAAATTCTTTTTTTCCTCTGTATCGTCAATCAACATTTCCATGCATAGATAGACTGTCTTGTTAGTAAATGCATTGCATATAAAACTTTAATTATGTATGTATGACAACTTCTCTTCTTTCTTGTTTCTTTCTTTCTTTTTTCTTCTTCTAAATCTCCAGTTTTAAATCACTCTAGGTTTTTAATTAAAAAAAAAATCACCCCAGTTTCCTCAAGTCATTTATGAAAAACTCTAATAGTTAATATTGCTCGACATCATTTATAATTCTCTCTAGTCTCTCGACACGTGACTTCTCCTCTCTCCTCTGAAAATTACAGCAAAGAAACCTAGGAAAAAAAATCAAATGAAAGAACAACCCAACCCCTTTTTTTAAGGGCAAATGAGTAACATCCGGGTATTAAGAGAGGCAAAAGGAAAAAGCTTTTCTTTCTAGAGTCCATGACTTTATTTTCGGGTTTTGGATCTCTCTGTCAT